TTAAGTCTTACAATGTACAATGAATAAGACAGGTTTATTAATCAGACAGATTTTAGTGCCCTAATCTAATGAAAGTCAAAATTTAGGCCAATGTATTCCATACCGGCATTGTGCGAACGGTAGAAGGGGTGTATAATTAGACGCAAACTGGTGACATTAATGATTTAATCAGTTTAGAGATTAAAGTCCTGGTTTGAAAGGTTTGCAGGCAATTGTTTTTGCGTGAATATATTAATCCAATAAAATTATAACGCTCTTTTTTCATAGCTGTCTATAAATGTAAAATATTTTTTTGTTTGGTTTTTTTCGTTTAGAAAGAAAGACCTTGCTAAAACAAGACAAGCATGAGAGCTTTTTGCTGTTGGTTGAACACTCTAGGAGATGTGCATCTATTAGTCATTAATTGTTTCATAGGAAAGACCCCAATGGGAGGATTGAGGAGAAATCACAGTCTGGACATGCATTTTATTTGTTGAAGAGGAGAAGACCTGGACAGATTTCCTCTCTTGATGTTCCATTTCCACTTTTTTATGCCACCATTTGCAGAACTTAAACCTTTATATTCTTTTTCTTTAAAAAAAAAATCATATAAGTTTTACAACTTGCCAAATGTTTTGTAACACATGTTCGACATTTATATGCCTAACATATGTCTAATCTGATATATATACAGCTGCAGCCTTCAGTCAACTGCTTCTTCCAATGATATTTATATGTGAAGCAATTTGAATAAATATTTGGATGATCTTAGCATGTTAACAAGTTCTTTGTGGTTACTAATTCAGCTTATAATATATTATACATCTCCATCTTTGTGTATGAATTTATTCTTTATACTGTCGAACATCATAACATTTAGGAGCTTGTATTTCAGCTGCTCTCTGCAAGAGTGTAGGGGCAGGAAGCTGCCATTTTTGGTCAGTGCAGGAAGTACAGGAAGCGCCGGAAGTCAATCCTAAAATCAAAGTCTTTCCCACGGGAATTTAATAAAGTCATTATAAACCTCTGACTTCAGCTTTAGGTTTCTTCTCCACCAGTGCTAGGATTAGAGTTTACACTCAGGGGAGGGCGTAGACAGAAGGTATTGAATTAGGTTCAGATCAAATCTTTTTGGTAATACTTAAGGACGATCGTATGAAGTGGTTGCATGATACAGAGAGACAATCAACATCATTATAAAGGTTTAAAGAAATGTCCATTGGTCGGCAAGAGTCACAATAGGCATGTATCCAAAGAAAGACAGGAGTTTTTAATCCACTGGTTGCACCATTTGCAAGGGTTGCAGCTGTCAGTATTTCTGAGAGACAATAGGAAGTTAGTCAGGGTGGTTTTATCTGGTGTTAGCACTTTTTAAACTGGAAATCAACAGAATTACTAAAACAATTGGAGTATCATTGCAGACGGAAGAGAAGTATTTTTTGTCCAGCTGCTCTGATTGCCTCTGTCTTTATTGTTGTACATTCCCTATAAATGTAAAAAAAAGTTGACTCTGAAAACATAAAGATGCAAGTCTGAAGCAAAATAGAGAAATTAAAGTGTTGTTATTTTATTCCTTTTTTCTGTTTCATATAATGTTTTATTTCTACCATTTTCCAGAAACAAATTAACTTCTGATAACTAAGGGCACAATAATAATAAGTAAATTACTAAACTATGTGTTCCAAATTAATTAAACTAATAAGTGTCTCATGACGAAGAGCGTATGTCAGTCATCTCTGTGGTGTCCCCTCCCAGTGTTCATGCAGGGAGGAGCTGATGGAAAACTGGACTGCTTCATTCCAGCCATATGGGCTGCTCTGGCACTGACACCCTGTACTTTTCACTTGGCTGAACATTAAACAGCAGACAGTCAGTCCCTCTCTATGCAGAGGCTGCTCTTCAGTTGTCATCTGCTAGTTTTATTGGTTTATTTAAAGATCTTTTAAACAGTTTCTGTGTGTTTTCCTCATTCAGAAAAGACAAGGAAATGAAAGTCATGTTTTTAATCTATGTTTAGTGTTACCTAACCTGCTGTGAATAATGCAACCTACCATCTGATTGGGCTTTTTTGATTATATACCAGACTAAATGATACCGTTTTGAAGATGCTTCTAATAAAGATGTTGATGACAGTGAATGTAACATTTTGCGTTTTTTTGTTTTAACACGGTCGCAGATAAAATGCATTTCAGCTGAATTGGTTGCCCTCAAATTATGTAAATTTGTAACATGCAGAAATATTTGATTTCTCTCTTGAAAGTTGTAGCTAAAAGTAAGCTGTGTAAAATAACTTTGTCACTGTGTGCCCTTAGGCCATTTTCACTTTATAATAAAAAAAGAGCTGGTTTCCTTTATTTATTTATTTATTTGAATTAGGACAATTTACATTTATCAACATTAGAGCATAAATGTAAATATGCCAGGATCACCACAACAGCTAATTTGCATTCACTGTCCTAAGGCAGAACAAAACAGTAAACGTTAAAAAAGACACTACAGGAGAAAACAGAGTGGACACAAACAGATAAGATGCCAATAACATAAAATCAAGTTAAAATTAGATTAACAGGCCCAAGGAAACAGATCAATTCACCTATGAACACATGTCTGGTTTTCAACTAATGTTTCAAGGAGATTTTAAAAGTTATGTAGGTTGCAGAGCCCCTAACATGAGCTGGCAGTGTGTTCCATGACTGTGTTTCTCTGATGGATGCAACCATTTGGCCAAATTTGGTCCTACAACCACTGAACATTACAGTTGAACAGTGTGTAATCATTTCATATTTAAAGTACTTTCAGAAGTTTGAATTCTGAATATGACTCCTTTAACTTAGCCAACAGAACATTATGGTTGATTGTGTCAAAAGCATGTTTCAAATCATGGAATACAGCTCCCACAAAGCTGCTTTTGTCCAGCTGCTGTTTTAGCTTTTCTAGGAAGTAACAAGTGGCTGTCTCTGGTGATGCTTCCTAAAACCTAACTGCATGGATTGAGAGCATTTGAGCAATTATTTAGGTATTCCACTAGCTGTTCAATAACCCATTACTCTGGAATTTGAGATTATTGGCAAAATACTTATAGTACGATAGTTCTCTGGTTTAGTTTTGTCTCCTGCCTTAAACATTGGCGATCTTCCATGCTGATGGCACTATTCCGTGATAATTGGATTGATTTATCATGTGTGCAAATGGCCTAGCAAGTGCCTCTTTGTTAAGGTTAAGGAAATGACTTGTCCTCATTCATTTGTGATACCTAAAATTCTCCAAAATAAGTTTTCCGCATCTTTGAACCTCTATCCTGGCAATATTTGGGGGTTCATCTGGGATTTGTAATGTGGCTCAACACCAGATACATATATAGTTCAGTTATAAACATGTACTTTCACAGTGTCTCTTAAAGGTCAAAGGTAAATTTGTTCTAACAAAACAGTTAATTCTTTAAGGATAACACATCCACGGAACATCTAGAGTGATGTAGATTAAAGGTGTTCATTTTACTGAAAAGGAAATATAGTATAATTGTTTTATAAATTTTGAGGGGTCCAAAATATATACATATTATTATCTTCAGGTTAAGATGCAAACATTGACTTAAATGGATGCTTCACCAGAATGAATAGTAGGTCGAAGACATGTTTCTTTGAGCTAAAGCGTAGTAACAGAGAAATTACTTCTTTTCAGCTTCATGTGTCTTGGACATTTTGATGACAGATGAACAAGGACAGCAGGAATGAGAAAATAGCTGTTTGTGTGGACGAGGATGTGTGCTGTAGAGGAGTGGGAGATGTTGTAAAATACACAATGATGTGAAAAACTTCTAAAACACACCAGGAACAGAGAAGTTCGCCATTGTTGCCGTTCGTCAGGTGAGGCAGGTTATGTCTGTCAGAATAGAGCTGCTAAGAGTGGCAGATGGCTTCAAACGTTCCCACTCTTGGAGCTGGTTTTAAATGTGGTCCGGTTTGAGTAGACGAGATCTATGTTTCTGACCAAGAAGTCTGCTGGATAATTACAAAACCAGCCAAGCATGAAAATGGCTAAAATCAGCTTGTTTTTCAGTTGTAATATTTTCTGTTCTACTGTTTATTTTGGTTGTTTATCTTTCAGATCCGCCTTGTTCAAATGTCTTCTGGTGTATCAGGGCTTTTTTTATGTTCAACATGACTCTGTCCTTCAGACCTTTGGCACACCTGGTCTCAGTTTAGCTCCAGTTTTCTGTCTGCCACTCACATGTTTTCCATTGAAAGTAATCCCTACAAAATCTGTTTAGATGTTCATCATCTTCTCCAATTTATCTCTCTCTTCTTGCCTTTTTTGGAGTAATGTTTATATTTTATGTATTTTATTAACATTTCAAGTATTTTGTTAAACTCTCATTTATATACTCTCATTTATGTACGGTAAACCTTTTTTTTTGTCATCATATTACCTGAAATTTAATCTTGTAATAGATTATATCACTAACTTATTAATTACTTCTTTCTTAGAGCGTATGGTCCACTAGTGGTTTCATCTGTTTCATTTAACAAACCTGTAAGAACTGAAGTAAGAAAACTGAACTCAAAGATATTAATTGCTGATTTGGGGTTCTTGTGCATCCAGTCCCGCTATCAGGGATCGATGGGATGCTGCGTCAGCTTGGACAGACGTTTCGTTGTTTCTCCCTGCATTTTAACTGCCTCTGTTTCTACATGGGTTTCTGTTGCTCCCTCTTTCTTTAGAAAGGTCAGCGCTGCCCAGCTGGTGCTCAGTGTGTGCATCTGTGCTCAGTGCTCTCACCCTCAGGATGCAATAAATCCTACTGCTGTTTTATTAGCGACTCACCTCCTCCATCAGCCTGGAATCCTGCACATTAACATTCACAGAGCCAGTATGTTGCTTCAGGGACTGGGAGGGATAATATGATGTCATGACTAAAAGCTGAAAAAATCTCACAATGCGCATTTACTTCATTAGGATACTATGAAAGCTTCATTGGAGAATGGCAGAATAATTAGAAAACTCTCTGTTTGTTTCCACAGAAACCATCAGAGCTGGAGTGGTTCTGCACAGCGGTAAGAAAACTTTTATCTTCATGCTTCATCATTTTCTTGAAACCTTTATGCTCATCATAACCATGCTGGTGGAAATCTGTCCTTGGTTTCGATCAGCTGCTGGGATGATGGCTGGTCTTGCTGGGACACAGTTTTTTTTCCTCCAGCTAGCTTGTTGCTTTGCAGGTGGAGTCTATTGCTTTCAGCTTGTCAACCCATTGTACCGTTACAGTAAAGCCAAGAGGCCTGTAAGCACTTACCGTCACTCATCCAGCAGGAGGGATGCTCTGGGTTTGGCCCTCTGCCCTTATTTATTTCAGCAGTTCATTTTTAACATTTTTCACTCCAGACTTATAAACTTAAAGACAGCTTCTCACATTTGTTTAGTTGTAGATTTTTTTTTCTGTAAGCTCCTTTTCCAAAACAATGATCTATTCTCAGCAATATGCTGAGAAAGAGAAGCTGCTTCCTCCATAGTCTGGTGAAGGCCTTACCCTTTTACTGGTAAATATAAAAACTTTCCCTTTTTAATATGTATTTTGCCAACTTACAACACAAAGAGACGTACTTTTCAGAGACGACCAATCAGCTAAAACAGTTTTGCTAATCCTTGATTTTAATTGTTTTGTTGTATTTACAATTACCCTTAGCCAGATATCTAAACTTTTGTACATTGAGACACGGGCTGGAAAATGTATTTTAATAATTCTAAGTAATTTCTTAATAAAATAATCATCAACTAATTTAATAATCTAATCAAACTGTTACCTATAGAGGAATGATAAGCAGACTCTAAAATATGCCATTTACAGAAAGTATTTACATGCATATGTTGGTACTGTATCTTTTTTATGTTGTATCTTTTGCAGCTCACTTAAAAATGTGCAATAAAGGTTTTTTCTATACTTAAAATATTTGTTGATCTAAAAATGGTCTTTTGCTTAAAGTGTCTCCTGAGATTAATCAATTCAATAAATAAATAATCAACTAATCAAATACTGAAATAAGCAATAGCTGCAACCCTAATTGGGACAAACTACAGCTGTGATTTACATAGAAGGCTCAAACTTTCTGAAATAAAATTTAAAAAAGTTACTGAAATTTTAAGTTGACCAACACATATAAACACAAATCTCTGATCTTTATCTGAGGGAGCAAGGTACTGGGCTAACGGGTAGCACTGACACTGTAAATCTTCAGTGTGGAGGTTGTGACTGAAGAAAATGGACAAAAATATTACTGTTTTCTCTGTTAGTGATGTGTTTATGAAATCTGATGATAGACAAAGGGTGTAAAATGTTTCATGAAAGTTTCTGGGGTTTTTTCCCCTCTTGTATGAAGACATATCGGCTGTTCATTCAGATCAAGAGCCAGGTTACAGTGAGCGCTGGTTCTCTTGCTTCTTTTGGAGGTTCTGTTGAAAGCATAGAAGGTCAGAATGAATCCTTAGCTAAGTAAGCCACCCCTGTATCTCATGACAGATGACGGATTTAAGAAAAGAGGAGTGGTGGCCTAGTGGTTAGGGCATTGTGCTTGGACTCCAGAGGTTCTTAGTTCAAGCCCCATTCCCACAGACTGCCACTCTTGGTCCCTGAGCAAAGACCCTTAAACCCACACTGCTACCGCACAATGGCAGCCCACTGCTGTGGTTAAATGCAGAACATTCATTTCGTTGCTCTGTTCTTGTGACAGTGTAATGACAATAAAAGCAGAAAAAAAGTCAGCATTAGGTAGAGAATGTTGGCTGAGGTGGATATTTGCAGGAGGAAGTTTGATTGTCAGCACTGTACAAATCAACAACAAATTGACCAATTTGTCAATGTGAGAGTCACTTACATTAGGCCAATATGGGTTAAATTCTCTATGAGCAAAAGCACTAATCTACTTACAATATGGGAGAAAAAAAAATCTCTTAAAAATGAATAAAATAGATACTACATACATTGTTTGGAGTCCATTTACATTGGACTCCAAACAAGCACACAAAATAAAAAAAAGTCCTTTTCTCTGCCAAACACGTTTAACAGCTGACGGTGTGAAAATACAATAAACAACAGCATCATCATCATGCAGCTTATGGCGTTGATTTGTTAGTGTGCACTGAAGTTGTCACATACGATCAGTCTGCTATTTATAAAGAGCCTTTTATGGACATGTTGCTTCAACAGTCTAAGAAACAAAGTGCTTTGGATATTGTTTTTTAATTGGTCCGTTCAGCTTTGCCTTCTATCTAGGGTTAAAAGTGTAGGAGCCCTGAAGAATAGACGATTCTTCTGAGAAACAGAACTCTTTTCCCAATGTCTGTGGCTGGATGTGTTCTTTACTATACAAAGTAATGCCCAGCAGCTTGCCAGCAGTGATGCAGGAATATATTCTAAGTGAGAGAAAAAGAAAAGGTTCATGGCAGTAGCTCCTTTAGTGGTTTTGTCTTGAACAGGGTTAAGCAATTCCAGTTCCTGACGGACGGTATTCTGCAACATTTAGATTATCACTTGGTCCAACACACCTGAATCAAATGGCTGAGGTACCTCCTCAGTATGCCTCCAGTATTCCTTCAATCATCTCAATACTTGATTCAGGTGTGTTGAACCAAAGGCACATCTAAAAGTTGTAGGATAGTGAACTGTTAAAGGAAAGATCTCTAGAGTTGCAAAGTTGGAGATTTGTTCACTGCATTTAACCCATCCTTTATGGAGCAGTGTGCTGCCAAAAAAGTAGCACACAGGGAATATTCTGGGACTTGCTTAAAGTCCCAGACCAGCAGTCTTGTGGTCTTTCCAGAATGCAACTGTCCTGCTCTCTAACCACTAGGCCACCACTGCCCTAAACCAGTGAAAGACAGGGCCAATTCAATATCTCGAGTTCAGGACAAAGGTAAGATTGTGACCCACCACCGTTTCTAAGCATTTATACCAGCTTACAATCTCAATAAGTGTGATCCTTGCTTTTTACATTACCTTTTAAGAAGTTTTCTCTCAAATTTACAAATTAAGCAACTTTTTGCCCACGATTAACTCCATTATTTTATAACAAAAAACTTAAAGTGGCATCTTTGCCAGATATATATATACTTACATATGGTCACTGGTGTAGAAAATGTATGGTAACTGGATAAGGCACATCCTCTGGGTTAACCAGTCGATGACAACAGCTATTAAGACAGGGAGCCCTTTACCCTGACTGCCTGGGGCCTGGTTTGGTTGCTACAGTATTGAAAAAGCAAGCGTGTAATTTCTCTAGGGGGACAGATTCTGCAAAAAAGGCCTTTAACTCTGCTGGTCCAAGTTGCAGGTCACTGACAAACCTGCATGATTATTGTGTAGTGTATAGAATATTCTGCATGAGTGCTCTCAGGTGTGACTCATGTAAATGAAAACGATCGCTAACAGAAGGAAGCTTTTAGCTGAAATCCATATAACAGGTTACAACTTCACACAAAAATGGTGTTGCAAATCCTCCCAAAAACTCTGATTGGTGCCACCCGTGGCTCTCTTCTATTGAAATACATTATAGCGGTGTAAATTGGAAAAAAATTTGGCGATTCTACATGTATTGCCATAGCTGTGATGATACGATTTACCAGATGGCAACACACAAAATGAGAGATAACACATTCATTATTTGTTTTATCTTCTGGCCTTTGCTAAACACTCCTACCATAGCTGCCTGTAAAACTCGTTGGGGATTCAAAGAAAGAAAACCCAAAGCATGAAGTTTTACTGGAAATTCAACATGAAAAAAGCCTTAATAATTTATTTCTTGTCATGTATAGAAAATAGAAACGAGATTCAAAGCTTACTTCAAAATGTGCCATAAGCTTTCCTGTCTCACTAATTGTTCATCTGCACACGACGTGTTCTCCCCAATAGGTTTTGTGACAATTATTACGCTCCGGTTGTGTTTTGCTGCTGGCGCAGTGATGATGCTGGTCACCTTTTATCACTTTGAGAGCAGCTTTCTGCTTCCCTCCTTTTTCCTCCTCCTTTAAAGCACCGCTAATGTATCATATTTTTTTTTTTTCCTCTTATCTTCTTATTGTGCCTCTTCACACATTCTGTTTTTATTTACTTTGCTGCCGTCTTCCTAGATTCATTCTGCACATTTGCAGTAAGATGCTTTATACAATGTAGTGGAAATTGAAAATGGGGTCCTAGACCCAAATCACACAATAAGCATTCTTGAACTTTGCCCCAGGCAGCCACCTACTATAGTTTTGGCTACTTTAATGCTAATCTCCCTCCTGTTGCAACGCTAGTTGGTTTAAGAGTCTTTATTGATCTTTGATGTGAAATTTATTTTGTGAAATATTTATTCTTGTCAGTATTACCTGCTCTGAGTCTATCCTATCTTTAAGTTAAGATTGCAGAACACAGAACAGCCCCCTAAATGTTGATGCATGTTCATCTGTCTATTTTTCATCCTTATACTTATTGCTGATGACATTTTCACATCATTTTCTGTCTGAGGTTTGATCAATTCTAAATGTTACTTACATCACCATGATTAGTTGAAACAGCTTATTCTTTAAATGTTGTAAGTTTCTTTATGTTGGGAGGAAAGCTTTGAAAAGAAAAGCCCTTAACTATCAGACATTGCTGTTTTGTGCTTGCTGTTTCCATTATGCCCAACATGTGTTTAAGCAGGACTGTTTTTAGTTTGACTGGAACAGATCGGGGCCACGAAAATGATTTGTCTGTGGTAATTACCAGACAGACATTCTGACCGTCAACAATGTTGGGTCTGTCTGGAATTTTAAGCATTTATGTGACTTGGTTTGTGATGGAAATCATCTGTTATATCAGGGACATCCAAGACCGGAATTTTCAAATCTGGCTTTCATCTGCTGACTTATAAGCTCTAGGGAAAATGCATCATAAAAAAAATCTAAGCTTTAATTCAAAAAATATAAAATACAAATAAAAAACTTTAAAAAGTAATTAAGAAGAATATACAAGGCTCCTATTACTCCAAAGAAAAGTGGTACTTCAGGAAATAATGCTGATGTTAAACACAAAAAGAAA